AAAAAAAAAAGTGAGATTACAGGCAAGGCACAGTGGCTCATGCCTGTAATTGCAGCACTTTGGGAGGCCTAGATGGGCAGATTCCTTGAGCCCAGGAATCGGAGACCAGCCTAGGCAACATGGCAAAAACCCCATCTCTACAAAAAATCAGCTGGGTGTGGTGGCACATGCCTGTAATCCCTGCTATCTGGGAGGTTGAGGCGAGAGGATTGCTTGAGCCCAGGTGGTCGAGGCTGCAGTGAGTCGTGATCATGCCACTGCACTCCAGTCTGGGTGAACAAGCAAGACATTGGTTCCCCCCTACCCCCACCAAAAAAAAATGGAGATTACAACTACTTGGGAGGCTGAGTTGAGAAGACTGCTTGAGCCTAAGAGTTCTGGGCAATGTGATGAGACCCCATATATAAAAAAAGTGAGATTAAAACATTAATTTATTAAATTCTTATAATCTGAGAATTTTAAAAATATAAACCTTGACGAGTCAAGGTTAAAATACATTTTGAAATTTTTCTTGTGAGTTGGTCTTTTTTTTTTTTTTTTTTCTTTTTTGAGATGGAGCTTCGCTCTGTCACCCAGGCTGCAATGCAGTGGTGTGATCTCAGTTCACTGCAAACTCTGCCTCCCAGGTTCCAGAGATTGTTGTGCCTCAGCCTCCTGAGTAACTGGGATTACAGGCGCCTGCCATGGCGCCCAGCTAACTTTTGTATTTTTTTTAGTAGAGATGGGGTTACACCATCTTGGCCAAGCTGGTCTCAAACTCCTGACTTCAAGTGATCCGCCCGCCTCGGCCTCCCAAAGTGCCAGGATTACAGGTGTGAGCCACTCCACCCAGTCTGGGTGGATTATGTCAGCTTGTAAAAGACCTGGCACCTTTTTTTTTAATTTTTTTTTTTTTTAAGAGAAGACTTTGCTTCTTTGAAATATAGGTAATGTTTTTCATACAGTGAAGAAATTTGTATTTTAAAAATTTGTTTGATAGTTCTGTTTGTCATTAAAGTTGTATAAAACAAAGTAACTGATGATTATGTACACTGTAACAGATACTCTATATTAATTTAGAAAAATGGTCTAAGTTAATAGTCATTAAAGTAAAACAATTTAATGATATTTAAAATTCTGGCAAAATCAAAGTAACTTTATAAAATTGTTTATTTTTCAGGAAAGGTCCTCAAAGATTCAGTGTGCTTGGTTACTGGTATTCTTAGCAGGATCTTCTGTTCTTTTATATTACACCTTTCATTCTCAATCACTTTATTACAGGTAATTAGAGGTCCAAATACAGAGTTACATTTTTAATGTAATCATATGTTTCATAGCACTTTGTATGTATCTTACTTCACATAGTACTTACTGTATTCAATTCAGTTCTGTTTTTAACTATCTCCTTTCATAAGGGAGAGCTTTTTTTTTTTTTTTTTTGAGACAGAGTCTCACTCTGTCGCCCAGGCTGGAGTGCAGTGGCTTGATCTTGGCTCACTGCAACCTCCCATCTCAGCTTCAAGCAATTCTCCCATCTTAGCTTCCCAAGTGGCTGGGATTACAGGCACACGCCACTACGCCCAGTTAATTTTTGTGTTTTTAGTAGAGACGGGGTTTCGCCGTGTTGGCCAGGCTGGTCTCGAACTCCTGACCTCAGGTGATCCGCCTGCCTCGGCCTCCCAAAGTACTGGGATTACAGGTGTTAGCCACTGTGCCCGGCCTCATAAGCGAGAGCTCTAAGTAACTTATTCAGATTTTGTATCCCCAGTGCCTTGGCACATAGCAGATGCTCAATAAATATTTAATTTTTTGATACCTGAATTTTTGTTTATATATTCCATATTTATTAAGTACCATTAGGTTGTTATTGTTGGTCTTTGTTTCTGAAAGTAAGAACACTTACTAAATGACAGTAGCCGGAAAGTTTCCATGTCAAATGGGAATATTCTGAATTTTCAGCTTTTATCAGAATATTAGAAGACCTGGTTTCACTGGAGTTGAAGAGATGGGCAAATCTGGGATGTAGTTTGGAGGTGGAGCCAGTATCCCTCAGATGGACTGGACTGGGTAGGTGGGTAGCGAAAAGCAAGAATGACCTCTGGGTTTTTAGTCTAAGTAACTGGCTGGATGGTGGTGTCATTTCATTGGGTTGAAAAAGAAACTGATTTTGAGGGGAAAAATCAATCATTTTGTTTTGAACATGTTAACTTTGAGAGGCTAAGTTGAATTAATAAGAAAGCGGTTCCAAATATATGTCATGACTCAGGGTAGAGCTTAGGGCTATAAATTTTGGTATCGGGAGCATATGATTGATATTTAAAAACCACAGGATTGGACAAACTAACCTAGAAAAGAAAGAGTAAAGGTAGAGAGCTCAGTACTGGACATGACCACAATTAGAAGAGAAACGGTAAAGGAGACTCAGAAGAAACCAGCAGTGAAGTATGAGAAATTTGAGTGTGGTGTTAAAAGTCTACAAAGAAAATTATTCAGAGAGGGAAGACCGAAAAAGAGAAGTGACCTTGAAATTCAGCAAGACAGAGGGAGTTGATGGTCTTGGCAAGTAATTCATTGAAAGGAAGAGATGAAATCCTGATTGGAATTGGTCAAGAAAATCATGGCAGATGTCTGGTATTGAGGTTTTTTTTTTTTTTCCGTTTACAGGCTAGAAAGGTGTCAACTATGACAAACTATTAAGACTTTTTCCTTATTCTATGAAGGGAAAATCTAAAACCCAAACATTTTAAAAGTCTCTTTAAGCAAAATGATCCTCCATTCCATTAATGTGAACTATGACATCCTGCCAAACTCGTATTTTTTACATATCAAAATAAAATATTTGTAACAAATTAAAACCCTTTATTAGTACTGTACCTTTATGTTGCTCTGATAAATTTTGATGTTTTTCTCTTGGTAGCTTAATTTTTTTAAATCCTACTTTGGACCATTTGAGCTTCTGGGAAGTACTTTGGATTGTTGGAATTACAGACTTCATTCTGAAATTCTTTTTCATGGGCTTAAAATGCCTTATTTTATTGGTGCCTCCTTTCATCATGCCTTTTAAATCTAAGGTAAGAAACTAACTTACGCTTTATTGGAGTGATGTTAATGAATCACATTAATGCTACTTAGTCTTTGTTTAAATGAATCCTCCTTTTGCAGTTTTTCAGTTTGCTAACTGCCTTTAATTATCTGTATGATTTCAGCCTGACAACCATTTGTTTAAGCATTTGAACCTGAATATTAACCTATTTGGATAAAATCAGAATTATATTTGCTTCAGAATAATTTTAAAATCAGTCCCCACCTCATATATGGGAAACTATTTAGATTTGTACTTCTTTTCTCCAGGGCATTATCAATTGACAGTTTACTATATATAATTATTCAGTGGCTTCTCCTACACAATAAAGACTTTAAAATTTTTATAATCAGCAAAAACATACATAAATTTTACTTGCAGTATACATAAAGCATTTTCACTATATCATTCTTTAGAAATTCTATTTATTTATTTAGAAATGGACTTCCACTCTTGTTGCTCAGGCTGGAGTACAATGATGCGATCTCAGCTTACCGCAACCTTCATCTCCCAGGTTCATGGGATTCTCCTGCCTCAGCCTCCCGAGTAGCTGGGATTACAGGCACCTACCACCACACCCAGCTAATTTTTTATTTTTGGCAGAAATGGCATTTCACCATGTTGTTCAGGCTGGTCTCAAACTCCTGACTTCAGGTGATCCACCCACCTCAACCTCCCAAAGTGCTGGGATTACAGGTGTGAGCCACCACGTCTGGCCTAGAAATTCTTTGAAAGCAGACCACTCAGTGACTGTGAAAACCAGTTTGAGGGTTTAGTCATAATCATAATCATTATAAAGATTAATATTATTTATATTGTATTATATACTCTCGGTGTTCTCAGTCCAGTATTCTTTGTGCTATGTAGTTTGGGTAGCTCTATTTGTTTTCTTTTTTCTTATTTTTTAGGGTTACTGGTATATGCTTTTAGAAGAATTATGTCAATACTACCGAACCTTTGTTCCCATACCAGTTTGGTTTCGCTACCTTGTAAGCTATGGGGAGTTTGGTAATGTAACTAGATGGAGTCTTGGGATATTGCTGGCTTTACTCTACCTCATACTAAAAGTAGGTAACATTACAAATCTTGTCACTGCAAGATTCATATTAATGATTACTGACAATATACTACTATTTTCCTCTTTAACAGTTTTATAGTTTATCTTTGTATCACTAGTTTGAAGTAATGGGAGGTTCTATATCTATTTAGAAATGGGAGAAACGGAAATTATCTTAATCCAGTGGTCCTCAGTTTTCATTGGAGGGAAGGAGAGCAGACTTTTGCATAGCGTGGATTATCTAAGTAGGGAAAACAAGTGGAACAGAACATACCCATCCTCAATAGTAACATTTATCATACACATAATTCTTAAACTAGTGGAGTATCTTGTTCCGTTCTCTCCATACCTGTGCCCCTCAACCTAATAATCACTTTATGAAACTTTAAAATCTAAATGTTAAAAACATGTTAATCAGATAAAATTGCTTTGACTTTGACATAGTTAAGTTTGTATTTGTCTTGATCAAATTGTTAACTCTAGATGTTTAAATGTACTTCAGCTTGAGTTGGCTCAAATTTATAAATTGAATAAAATATTCACAAAATGATTAGTTTTGACATATAATGAGGATTCATATGAGGATTTGATGTTATAGGATTTCAGCTTTGGTTTTTGTATTTAGCAGATAGGACTGTTTGAGTTAATAAATTATCTCTTATTTCCCTTTTCAGCTTTTGGAATTTTTTGGGCATCTGAGAACTTTCAGACAGGTTTTACGAATTTTTTTTACACGACCAGTAAGTACTTTTTATCAGTTGAGAAGAACACTTGCACCTTTCTTCATTACAAATATTTTTTTAGTTCAGCAGTTTTACAAGAATGGATTTCATAAAGAGATGATCCTTTTCTTTTACTTTATTTTCCAGTATTTTGGCACTTGGGGGCCATAATGATTTAGGAGTTTCATCTCCACGATCAGTTTCTTGAATCACACGTTGACAACCACCTGCTAATTATTGCAGTACTTATATATTTGAACTTGTCTCTTGCCCCTTCAATCCATTTGACATTTTTAAGGGCTTGCAAACCCTTAAAAATCTTAGGAAGTTTTGTTTCTCTTTTTTAATCCACAAATTGGGGCTTTGTGTGTTCCCATTAACTCCTTATTCAGCTGTTAAAATCCTTCCACTGTAATTTATTGTGTATGTTTAAAAAGCTCATTGCCAAAAATCATGTCTCCTGCAGTTTTCTTACTGGAGCAGGTTTCCCCATTGCTCGATTTTATGTATACAAATAAGTTCATGGCATGAAATTTAACAATTAATTGAGACTCTGGTATCATATGCAACATTATTATGTGATTCTATTGATGTTACAAATTGCAGTGAAAGGATGTCATAGAGAACCTTAATTTACTACTTAGTAGCCTCAAAGGTTCCAGTAGCTATGTGTTGTCACTAGATTTTAAGGTTTGACGCTCAACTTTGCAGTCATTTCATCAGGATTCAGGAAGACTGACTTAAAAGAATGCCAACCTAATACTATACCATTAAAAATAAAAAAAGGATTATGTCTACAAAGTAAATCATACTAACTGGCCAGTGCATCTTTTCCCTAAGATAGAGTTAGCAATGTAGAAATAAACTGTGCAACATCCTATTCAAGCTTCTTTCTCTAGATAAGATATAGTAAAATTCAGAGTTCAGCTTTGTCCAAGTCAATTCAGTTGATGATTATGTGAGCATCGACCATTTTACTATAATTGGTCTTGTACGATTTGTGCTGAAATGCTCTCAATACCCTGATACTCTTTCTCTGAGACAAACTATAGAGAGGATATCAGTCATCAATACTTTGATTTGTTCAATTCTCCTTTACCAGGGAAATGGCAGTTACTATCAGGGTAAGTCTTCATGTTGAGGGAATCTCCAAGATGCCAGATGAGTAATGTTTTAAAAGCTTGTCAGCATAATTATCTGCAAATGTACTCTGCTAAATGCCACCTTACTAAAGGAAAACTGACATCAAGATCTTGTAACAGTATCCTGACTTGTTTCTGAAATCTTTATCACCAGTCTCAAAAACCTCAATTTTTAATATCTTTATCCTTTAAGATTTGATTTTGTTAACCTGAGACATTTTAGTATAAGAACTTGTACAAGCATTTGTAACATTCTGATTTTTCCAAATTTCACTGAGGGTTATTAACATCACATCTGGTTAATGACTAAATTCTGAATCTGGTGAGGAAGTTAAAATCTTAAAGAGACCAGAAACTTTTTATTAGGACATTAGAAGAAAATTCAAATAATTTCATTATTGTTCAGTTAGTTTTGACAGTCATTATTCTACCCAAGTGACATTTACAGTTGCAGTTTCTCTGTAAAACTTTATCATTCATACTTAGCACTAAATGCTTTTTATGATAATCATGAATAATAACTTTTAGACCTAGTGGCAGAACATTCTTCAGTGGTCCCTAAGTCTTCTTCATATTGTACTCACTTGGCAACCTTTCAAATAGATGACTGGGTCACATTCCAGTATGTCTGGTCCTACTGAATGAATATTGTGTGTAAAACAGAGAAATCTATTTTTAAAGCAAGCTTTCCACGAGTTACTTTCAGCCAGCTAAGCTCTGACTAGATTGAATTTATGAACCACTGCCGCAGGTAATAAGTGAGCTCAATTTGGCAGTCCAGCGTTAAATACATGGCTATAGATTTTATAATAGTTGTATTTCAGATTGCTTAGTCTCTTAAGCCAGTTATGTTGAATCTGAAGCACTGTCATCCTTTGGAAAGCTAGTAGATCTGACAATCTTCCAAGATTCTATTTATTATTTAATGATTTCATCTTGGTGCACTCAAGAAGTGGTTCTGTATATGTGATTCAGCTTTGAAATGTTTGTATCCTTTGAGAAGGTTTTCAAATACCTGGTTCCAGGGAGATTTGAGAAGTACAGCATCACTTATGTTATTTGAGGAACAGGAAAGAAAGAAATTTGTATATGAACAGAACTTGCTATCTTCATAGAGTTACGGAGTGGCTGCCAGCAAGAGACAGTGTTCAGATGTGGATGATATTTGTTCAATATGTCAAGCTGAATTTCAGAAGCCAATTCTTCTCATCTGTCAGGTAATTATATTTTTAAATTTAAAAACCTAATTACAACACTTCTCTGTGACTTGCAAAAGTCACATTTACGTTTGTTATAAGGCACACACACACAAAATCTAGTGTTTAGTGAAAGGTAGCATTCAGGGTACATACTAGTAATTTATTCATGATCGGGGGATTGGTGGATTGGCTAAGTTTTGTCCTTTATGTTCTGATGACTTTTATGCAGAGGAGTGTATGAAGGGGAAAAAATAATTCAACTGACAGATTGGATACCAAAGTGATTAAAAAACAGGCTATTTTTAGAATTGGATACTAGCCATTTAGAATACCAACATTTGTTGCTGGATTGTGTAAGGCCCTTTCCTGTACTTTATGGCAGTTATTAGTAACTCAAAGACTTTAAGCTGTTATCATATGTAATATTAAAGGATCACACCTAGGGATAGTTTTTATGGTTAAATGGATAGTACAGCCAGAACAATAGTGGCTTTACTACTCACACTGTTCTTTGTTTTCTTGAATGTGTCATACTGTCTCCATTTTCCCATTTGTAAAGTGAGGGGATTAGTACTCTTCAAAATCCCTTTCAGGCTGGGTGCAGTGGCTCATGCCTGTAATCCCAGAACTTTGAGAGGCCGAGGTGGGCGGATCACTGGAGGTCAGCAGTTTGAGACCAGCCTTACCAACATGGTGAAACCCTGTCTCTACTAAAAATACAAAAATTAGCTGGGCATGGTGTGGTGGACACCTGTGATCCCAGCAATTCAAGAGGCTGAGGCAGAAGAATCGCTTGAACCCAGGAGGCAGAGGTTGTAGTGAGCCGAGATTGTGCCATTGCACTCTGGCCTGAGTAACAGAGCAAGTCTCCATCTAAAAAAGAAAAAAAAAATCCCTTTCATTCCCTACAATGTGATGAATTTAAAATGCTTATCAAATGTAAAATCTAATTCTTCATTCCATTACAGCATATATTTTGTGAAGAGTGCATTACCTTATGGTTTAGCAGAGAGAAAACATGTCCACTGTGCAGAACTCTGATTTCAGATCATATAAACAAATGGAAAGATGGAGCCACTTCATCACACCTTCAAATATATTAAGTTGTATAAACTATTAAGGCCACAAAATACTAATGTCATTTGGTCATAATCACTACTGATGAAGGCATCAAAATGGATTTTCAGGGCTACAAGAAAAATGTTTCTCGATGGTTTTAGAATGTAAGACTTATGGTCCAATTCATCAAAAGATTTAATGAAAGAACCCTGTGTTTTAAAATATATATAATGTTCAGCCTAATGTATATGCCACATTTATTCTATTCTAATTATTTGACAGGTAACTGCAGTGTTAAATTGTAAATGTGTTTTCTTAATGTTAACAAAACCACAATTTGTAGAATTGGTGGTTTTAGAGAACTCAGGTATTCTTTCCTGACATTGTTTTCAGAATAAGGAATATTTTTCATAATATTTTAAGATACATATCAGAAAGAATTTTGTTCAGCATTGACTTTTATAATTCCCATCCTAAAAATTCTTAATATTTTCATAAAATTTGTATTTTTAAATGAAAGTTCTAAATGTTATATTTTATCAGTAACAGATTTTTCTAAGATTACTGAGGATGATACATTTTAATATTGTATTATTCTCTGTAGTATGACCAGAATCAGTGAAAATAAATGATTTAAATTCATTTTGTCTATGGATCTCATAAATTCTTCTATCATCAGCTTTAATGCTCATGATCATGCTTTTTGTGTAGTACCATGGAGTATCTTGAAGTAACTATTAAAATAATTCATGTGGATTATAAACAGCTGGCTCACTTGATGATTTGAATAGTATAGAAAACAAGACAAGACGAGGCGGGGTGCCTCACTAATCCCAGCACTTGGGAGGCCAAGGCAGGCAGATCATGAGGTTAGGAGATCGAGACCATCCTGGCTAACACAGTGAAATCCCATCTCTACTAAAAATACAAAACATTAGCCGGGTGTGGTGGCACACGCCTGGAGTCCCAGCTACTCCTCAGGCTGAGGCAGGAGAATCACCTGAACCCAGGAGGGAGAGGTTGCAGTGAGCCCAGATCACACCACTGCACTCTAGCCTGGGTGACACAGCCAGACTTCATCTCAAAAAAATAAAAGATAAATGGCTAGACATGGTGGCTCACGCCTGTAATCCCAGCACTTTGGGAGGCAGAGGCAGGAGGACTGCTTGAGGCCAGGAGTTCAGGACCAGCCTGGGCAATATAGCAAGACCCTATCTCTATTAAAGAAAAAAGTTTCAAGACAGATGCCTTAAAATCTTAGAAAAGAATTGCCTTGATAATTAGTCTTCTCCATAAAAGTTTTGGAATTTTATGTTTGAATCACCATCAATTGGAAGATTAAAGCTTGCACTGAGAGGCCAACATGAGGTTTTGATAGTGTGGTTTGTTCTCCTCTAGGTATTTGTGCAGGGTGGTAGAAAAGGGAATGAAGCACTTTCCCTCTCCCCTTGTTACCTCTAAGGAGGAATCTGAAATTGAAAACAGATGTCTGAAGGGCTGCTACCGGTTATATCTAAGTTTAGAATAATCTATCAGTTTGTAGTCGAGGAAAAGATGGTAGAAAGGAGAACTAGGAAGCAGAGGTAGAAAACAGATTTGCTGTACTGGTAAGACAAAAGTTAAATCAGCACATGGATTAATAAGGATACTGACCAACTGGCTATACAAGTCACTTTCATGACTGTATGGCCATCCAAATTGACAAAAGAACATTTGGAAGTCTGCACCTTTTTTTCTCCAGGTAAATACTACCAGGTTGTAAATACACTATATTCAATATTTCACTCTATTATCTACTTTGAGAACCACTACAAGTATTTAAATGGCTTTGTGGTGATGCTGATAGTTCTATTATTTAGGTATATAGCAGAGGATGGGTGAGAGAAGCAATTTGGGATTACAATTTGGCTGTGAAGGGACAGCCAGGATGACTTCCTGTTCAAAACACAAGAATAGCATTTTCTTCAGCCCTATGACAATACCTATTTAATACATTTGTGCACCCTGTAACTATTCAGACAGCACTGTTCCTTAATGTGATTAAATAACCAAGGAGGTGCATGGTGGGGGTTTTTTGGAATGCAGTTTACCTATAAATTGAAAAGGGAGAAAATCTAATGGAGCTACGCCATCCACTAACAATGCTGATAAACTGCAAGCATTTCTTCCATCCCTCTATTCCTTCACCTCAAAAAAAGGTAGTATAAATTCAGAAACCCATTTACTCTTTGAATTCAGATCATGACTTCTAAAAGATTGTTTTACCAGTATTGATACACTACTAGGTTGTATAGCAAGGTAAAGTCAGTTTGAGAACTTCCGTAGAGAAATCCCCTTGGCAAGTGTAATATAATTACCTAACAGATAAGAAGTGGTTCATAAGGCCGGGCGCGGTGGCTCACGCCTGTAATCCCAGCACTTTGGGAGGCCGAGGCGGGTGGATCACGAGGTCAAGAGATCGAGACCATCCTGGTCAACATGGTGAAACCCCGTCTC